TTCAGACACGGGTCACGACGAGGCGTTCCCCATAGCGACCCCTAGAGGACGCAGTGTCTCGTTCCCTACTCAGGGAACCATGCTTACATAAGTAACCTGAGACGTTTCCTTTCTGTGAACAAATTAAGCCTGTTACAAAAATGAACTGAAACTCAGCATATATAGGCTACGTTGCGTGTCGCACTGTTTTTTTCCCTTGTTTATCTGTAAACTAAATCAAATATATTTCAAGAATTTATTCCTAGTATGTATATATGTACTGCAGATTTTATATATATATAACATAATGTAATAATATTTAGTATTTTCACATCTAGGTGGAAATTTTTTTAATTTATACTACTGTCTGTTCAAAATAAATGAAAAGAAACAGAGCATAGTAGATTTTTTATTTTTTTTCCCCTGTTGTACCGAAATCGTATATCGAACCGTGACCCCCGAACCGTGACATCTGTGTACTGTTCCACCCCTATTGTGTATGTATATAAAACAATATTTATGTTTTTGTGAACAATTTTTACTCTTAATATGTTGTTCAGATGAACTGGGATCCAACCTCTCACACTTTGACAGTTTACACAAAGAATGTAATTATCTGTCTTTCTATTAATACCCAGACAAGTTTCATAATTGTGATAGATTTGTTTTATGCTTCCAGACGCAGTGAGGTGGATTTGGTTTTGAAGGTGAATTTGTGTGTGTGTGTGTGTGTGTGTGTGTGTGTGTGTGTATTAGTTCAATGGTGTGACCTCAGGCAGGGCTGTTGGAGGGGGACTGATAAATGACAGGTGGTCCCGTCTGGCTGAAGTCACAGTCTTTGAGCTGAATGGTGAGAAACAGAAGGGCTCTGGACTCTTTTATGGAAATGGAACAAAATTGTTGTCTTCCTGCATCTTTACAGCGACAATTAGCCTGTCAGGGTGAAGATAAACTGTGCTTGTTCATTCCAACACGCTCCCCAGTCCTGCCTGAGACCTGCGACCCCAAACTTCGGTGTCTACATCACTCTTTACTTTCTACTGCTTTTACACCATGGGCCGCGCTTTTGGGGCTGAAGCCCTGGTGTCTTGATGTCTTTTGCCAAGGTTTTTTTTTTTTTTGTATTTTTTTTTTTATACATATACTGTTAAATATGCACAAAGTTTAGTGTAGTTTACTAAAACCATAAAACAAGTTTTTATTATTTGAAATAAAATAAATGTTAACTGAAATAAAATTAAAAAAAAGAACTTAAACTTATTTTATTTCAGCTAGTTGCCAAGACAGCATTTCTTATTTTTATTTAGCTTAAATTAATAAATTAATAAAGAACTATATAAACATCAAAAAAACTAATAAAAACAACAAATTTACTCAAACTTTAACTAAAATTAACATGAAAACAAAAAATATAAAAATAAAATGAAATTCAAAACGTCTTAACTTTGATAAAGAATATCTTTTTTTCTGTTTTGAGACTTTAGTCTTTGCAACTTCAGGGATCTTATCTATGCACAATCAGCTTGTAACACTCCAAAGAGAAAGGAAAACTTGAAATCGCATCATATGACCCCTTTAACAAAAACTATAGTAGTATCTCAATGAAACTAAAATAACAGTGATATGCACTAAAGCTTAGTGGTTTTAATTTTAACACCAATAATATTGAAAGATTTTTAGTTTTTTTTTGTTTTTGAGTTATTTATTTTCATTATTATTTATTTGAAAGTGTTTTATAGAAATTCTGTTCCAAAACGTAGTGAGCTGCCTATGTGAGCAGTATTTTAAGGCATCATAGTTGCACTCCAGACTTAAAATATGCCAGAATGTCTATATCTCATCTTTTTTTGCTCTCTCTCTCTTTCTTTCTTTTATTTCTACATTAAATTCCTTCATCATGCACTCTTGCTCTCTTTCATTGGCGCACTCGCTCTCATTTCCCTAGCTTTTCTCTCTCTCAGTTCCCCGATTCATTTTTTTCTGTTTTAAATGCACTACAGGCTCATAATTCGTGACAAAGTCATTCTTGGCGGATCTTGAAAAGACCAGGGTTTTTTTAAGTTGCCCTTGAGCACTTATGCCATTGAAAAGCTGAATTCCTAAATGGATGGAGGATATGTATTCTGAGAGGGAGACCCAGGGTTGGTAAACCCCTTCGGAGTGCCTCAGAGGTTCTCCAGATTTCTCACTTCCCTCTCGCCGTCTTTCTTGTTGCCAGCTTGTTGTTTCATTACGTGCTTATGACGTCAGTTGATGGATAATGGATGTTCAAGAGAAGACTTTTTGTAATTGACACCGTTTTCACCATTTTAAACACCCTGCTTTCACTAGTTCAAATATAATATATGGGTAAATTTTTTAAATATATCAAATATTTGTAAATAAAAAAATAATAATTATATTGCAAACTTTGGCTGTTTTTTCAGTTTGATGTGCAGAACTACAGAATGCCAAAGTGTAAAAACTTTTCCCCCTTAAAAATAAATAAATAAACTTAAAAAATATATATGTAATTGTTTTTATTTATTTTAAACTGCAGTATTATATATTATATTAATTTATTATTATAAAATAATTAGTGCTGTCAAACGATTAATCGCGATTAATCGCATCCAAAATAAACGTTTTTGTTTACATAATATATGTGCGTGTACTGTGTATATTTATTATGTGTATATATGAATACACACTCACACCGTATATATTTTGAAAATATTTACATGTTTTACTTGTATATATTTATATTCATATAATTTATATTATATATAAAGACGTATCAGTTTAGATTAATTATTTTAATTATTTAAAACAATATATATTTTTTATTCATTTTTATTATTTAAAATAATTTATATAATTTGTAATTTAAAAAAAAAAACAGCAACAAAAATAATAAAAGGACTACAGGCCAAAAGGTATAAACTTTAATTATTTTATTTATTTATTTTAAACAGCATTATTTATTTTTTAATGTTCTAAAATTAATTTTACCCATGACCCCATTTAAGTGCTGAAGTATTAGTGTGTGTGTTCCTGTGTGTATGTGTGTGTTCATTTGTGCAGTAATTGCAGGCTGTAGGGCAGACGTGTGTGAGCATAATCAGTAATGCCTGATGAATGGCTATTTTCTGTCTCTAGGCATTCTGGGAATGCCCCCTTTCCGAGCCAGGTCTCTCCCGCCACTATTTGCCTTTCGTGTCACAGAATAAACGCCCATTCTCGACCTGTCTGCCCTAAACTCCCAACATGCTTGTGGGTTGTGCATTAGGTGTCAAAAGAGGCTTCTTTGTGACCATGTTGTTGGTTTGTGTGTCAGTCTCGATGTGTCGTTTTCTCTTCCTGATTGCTCGGCAATCAAGCTCCTCTGTAAGAATGAGAAGGGCACAAAAGAGGATGTTTGGGAACGGTTGGGTGCGAAGGCCTCATGTACTCTGCTGTGTCTGTTTGCTGTCCGCTTGAGTAAACGTCTCACTTCTGTCCTGTGTAGTCTGTCAGCGGTGAGAAAACACTGGAACGAGAGACTTTCCACTGTCCTCATATTCGTGGGTTCATGAGGAGTGGTCGCTAACATAAGGATGCACAATACCATTTAACTGGTTAGAAATTGTGAGTGCAATCATTTTTAAGTACAGTGGGAGTAATGATTTGTGGGTAACATAGTATCATGAATTTTCATGAAACATTAACTCTATTAATAACATAAAATGCACAACACTATTTACTCTTTCTTGTTTTTTTATTAATTTCTATATTGTTTTTTTTTTTTATTTACATTTGTAAATATTTTTTATAATATTTTTTTTTTCATTTTAATATTTTTATTTTCCCCATGTTTTATTTTATTTTAATTTATATATAAAATATATACAGTAAAGCATATCAGTTGGCTTAATTAGTTTAATAGACCCCAATAACTTTTTTTGTAGTACAGTACAATGGGACTAACTGTGGCTTAGCAAAGCAGTGATTTTTTTTTGTAGATTATTCCTTATTATATTTTTAATAATTATGTCATATTTGTACAAGTATTTTTATATGTACATTTTATGTATCAATTTAATATTTTTTCTATTTTTATAATATTTTTTAAATTATTTTCTCATGTTTTATGTTGTTTATTATTTTATTTTCACTTATATATTTTTAAATAGAACCGATACAATAATGTATTGAGTAAAAGGCATCAAAGATATAAATCATATCAGCTAGCTTAACTGGTTTATTAAAGACAGATAACATATTATTATTTTTATTATTGTTATTTTTAGTGGTCGACCGATATGGGTTTTTTGACAGCCGATGCCGATATCTTGGAAAGCAGGATGGCCGATATAAAGCCGATATAATTTTATTTATTTTAATTAATATTTAAGAAATTTGAAATTATTTGAAGATGGATTAAAAATAATTGTGTAAAATAAACATACTTATACTTTAGAAGACAAAGCATTTTTCACAAATAAATATTTAATAAAAATCTAATTGAATAGTATGTAAATAAATATTTTTATTCCCTGGCAGAAATAAGCTTTCTTGTATTTCTCCTCAGGCTTGTTTGACTCATAATGAGGTGAGTTGCAGCCTCGCCAGTGTTTGTCTGGGGTCAGGTGACCTGGGGCATCCTCAGAGCTCACAGGAAGTGACCCAAAATACACAATCTACTCACATAATGCAAACATTCCATAGTGTAACCTAACCCTGATTGAGCTGCCGCCCACCCCAGTAACATAACACACGGAAATGCATCTATCATCGCATTCAAAAATGCCATGCCTCATGCCCAGAAAAACACAATACACCTACATCATCCACAATCATCAGCTGCAATCCAAACACTTTTCCTTCTCTGTTTTGCTCTCATTCTCTGGATATAATAATATCCTCTGGAGTGAGGAAGGATAACAATATCATGCAGTTGTAGGTGACCCAGTGTGAACTGTGAGGGAACGCAACATCACGTATTAGCAGACTAAAAGTCCTCTTTCTCTCAGTAGCCATGGGACGGCATGCGGCAACATGGTAGCATCCACATTAGAATGAGGTTTTTGTAAATTAACCCTCATTCATCAGTGTAGTCCAAGCCAGACTCAGTGCAACAAGTTCCAGTGTGTTCTATCCTCAGTGAAAGTGAAATGCTGCATAAAATGACAAAATCACAACTAATCAATAAATAAATATGGATGTGCAGTCAGCCAAAATATGTATAAAAATAAAAAATGGGGTGATCATTGCTAAAATAGCTACTTGAATTGGACTAAATAATAGATTAAATATTATTGTTATAATTAAATATTATTGCATCAAACTTCCAAAAAATAAAGGAGCAATAATTTTAGAACAGTATTTCAAGCTAATTAATTATCCAGCTTGAAATATCGATTAGAAATTATTGTTCCTTTATTATTTTTTAATAATTACTTATTACATTTTATAGAGACAAAATATTTAATTGCATAGAAATTGCTCTTTGTGGGTGCAATGTCTTTAGATATTTCTTAATCCTTAGTAATCCTTACTTTTTTCCCCTATTTTATTCTGTTTTTCCCCCCGTTTTTCTTTTCTTTCTTATTTTTATATTAAATGTATATATTTTTTATATATATAATTAAATAAAATAAAAATTACAAATATGATTATAAAATATTTTATTTAATTATTAATTTAAGATATGTTTTGCACACAACCTTGTTACCACAAAATTGTCTCTATTCCAAGTGAAAGATCTTTTAAATTGTTACTTTTGAATAATTTGTTGAGAAACGAAAGCAAATTGCCCCGTTTTCTCAAATTTGTACACATTGTAATAATGACTTAATTTGTCAACCTCAAACATTCAACATTGTTACCCAAATAATTGTAAGAAAAATTAATCAAACAAATACTTTTTCTGGATTAATATGTTTATCAGTGCACTAAAAAAAATAATGTTGAAACAATTTTCACTCAGAAATTTCTAGAAAACCACAAATTATTACAAAGAAATGCCTAGAATTATTAAATTAATTGTAAGAAAAAAAAATCATCAAATACTTTTTCTGGATGAATACGTTTATCAGTGCACTGAAAAAAACAATGTTGAAACAATTTTCACTCAGAAATTGCTAGAGAATTTCACAAATAATTACAAATAAATGGTAAGTGTTATTGACATTTTTAAGTTGAAAAACTTGTAGACAAAATAATATTTTCTTGTACTCCAATCATTTCTGTTTTATTTATAACTTTGAAAAATAATATTTTACTGTGTAATTACAAATCAATGATGCATTTTGACAATGCATTTTGTCTAATTAATTTTGATGTTTAGTTTATATTACTAGAAAACAGTAATTACAAAAAATAAAGGTTTTAAACTGTATTTAGAAATGTCCCAATTTGTGGTTGCGAAAAAATGACCATTAGTTTGACCTCAGTATTGTCAATCAACAGTTTCTGGAGGTTAAGCACTTCTTTTTACTGACCAACTGCTGAAACATGAAAACTGATTTCATGATTCGTTTTGTAAGAGTTTCAAGCCCCCTCTGTACTTTATTCCTGAAAAGTACCATGTATTGCTGATCTGGAAGCGTTTTCTTGCATGCTTCAGAGTTTGAGCTGTTTGGGTACACTGCGTTCTCAATGCTCAGCAACTTGGATGCAATTTTATTTATCTTAAAGCTTGATGGTTTATCCAAATTAATGTCAGGTATTGTTAACGTGGGACTAAATTCCCTCTAATTGCCGAACGTTGCTGCTCTTAAACGCTCGAGCGTCACAGCCGCTCCTCCCATCTTTATTCCCAGTGCGTCTCCCTCATTACGGAAAGGTTAAAGTAAACGAGTGTTCCTCAGTCTCTATGGTGAAAGGTTAAATAAAAGGATTGTTCCATCGATGGCGTGTTTGAGGAAAATAGAATAATATATTGAATATAAGATTGAACTAAAAGTTTTTTCAAAAGTAAATAACTAAATTAATTTAAAATGTTTTTTAATTATTTTCAAATGTATTATTTTTACATAATTATGATATTATTAATTAAATTATGCATTGTTGTTACTTCTATGTTAATTAATTAGTTTATGCTCCCTTAAAACTTTAATATATTGTAATGTCAAACTCAGTCAAGGTCTTCTTCAGGTACACATGATTGTAATTTCATTACATTTTTATTGATATGTCCTTGTTACCCATAAAAAGTAACAATAATTAATGTATAATTTTAATAGAATATTTTTTTTTTCTTTTGATTTTTTTTTTGACCAAGCATCTGTTGTAAGTTATGTTGTGATGTGTGATGTTGTGATGTTAAGGTGCCTATGTATTTCTCACTTCCAAGGTCTGAGACGCTGTGGCTTAAACAGCTGTGTGTGTTTTTGTGTTCACAGAATGGCTTTGCTGTGGTGCGACCTCCAGGACATCACGCTGAGGAGAGCACTCCCATGTACGTCCCCACTGTATCTGTGTGATCTCCAAATACACTCCACAGCCAATATCAGCATCACTTTAAACACACCTCAGTCTCTATGGTGAAAGGTTAAATAAAAGGATTGTTCCATCGATGGCGTGTTTGAGGAGCAGACTGAGGTTTGGTGCCTCTGCCGTGGGCCGCGGGCCAGGCCCTGTTCTTACGCTCTGATGTCAAGCCAGGACACAGTGGGTGAATCGTGTCATTAGTGAAATGAGACAATCCATCAGGCCAGGAGGTCCACTTCACAAACGCACACGATCAGGCCCTCCACGATAGATCACACACCAGCTGATTGTCCCGGTTCTGTGTTCTCTCTCACAAGATGTTTTGTGCTTTTTGTTTTTGACACATAACAGGGGATTTTGCTATTTCAACTCGGTCGCCGTTGCAGCCAAACTTCTGCAGCAGAGACTTAACGTCAGTAAGATTCTCATTGTAGACTGGGTAAGTTCACACTCAATCAGTTCATATTTGCTTTATTAATAAATGTCCCTTTTCCTATTTCTGTGCCACTAGAGTTACCAAACTGAATTGCACAAATAATCTCATTTTCAAACCGATTCCCAAACAGTGACATTGATGCATATATTAAAAGTGGAAAAAATTGCACATCATTTTCAGTAAATCACAATTCTTTTATCTTTCTTTCTAACTCTTTAATTATTTTATCACAGTTTAATAGTTTTCTTTTCTGCTAACATAAACAGTGCCATGAGTGGGGGGGGGTGGGATATTTGAATATTTTATTATAAATTAAATCTAATATTTAGTTTATAATAAAATATGAATATATTTAATACATTTAAAATTTCATAAATTAAATATTTACAAAACATCAAGAAAATATGTAAAGTTATTTTGCAAAACATCAAGAAAATATGTAAAGTTACAATATTTTGCATTGGTAATATTAGCTTTATAAATATATAATTTGACATTTTTAATTTATTACATATTTTAAATGTATTAATGTGTTAATTATTAAAAACTTATCAATTAATATGAATGTAATATTATATATGTTTCATTTATAATATTACTTCATTTATAATAAAATAATAAATTATTTCATGCATTTAAAATTTCTGAAATTAAATATTTATAAAATATCAGAATATATATATATATGTGTGTGTGTGTGTGTGTGTGTGTATATATATATAAAATTTAATATTTTGCACTGGTTTTATTTGCATTATAAACATAATTTATGGAATTTTAAATTTATTAAATATTTTAAATGTGTTCATGTATTTATTATTAAAAACCTATTAATTATTGTAAATGAAATATATATTTCATTTATAATATTACTTAATTTATAATAAAATATTAAATGAATTAAAATATTGAATTTTATTTTACATACTGGTTACCACTGTATCTGTGTGATCTCCAAATACACTCCACAGCCAATATCAGCATCACTTTAAACACACACACAGCATCATAAATCAGTGTGACACACACTATCCTCTCACGTTAATGAATCCCAGCACTGCAGTGGACCGCCTGGCCAAGACAACAGGACTTCCAGCACTCACGTTGGCTTCAGTACAGTAATGCAAATTGTCGGTGAGGTGAATACAGCGCAGTAGGCCGACGTTATCTCCACAATGACTCATGCCAGTTTTATTTGGAAGGACTAGCATGTGTTATAAACTGCATTTTTCGTGAGTAAGGTCGACTTTGGAGTGTCTTTTCTGTATCCAGCAATGAAAGGGATTCCTGTAGCTTGACATTAGAGTTTTGAATCTTCCAGAGAACACAACTCTAATATTTAGTTTATAATAAAATATGAATATATTTAATACATTTAAAATTTCATAAATTAAATATTTACAAAACATCAAGAAAATATGTAAAGTTATTTTGCAAAACATCAAGAAAATATGTAAAGTTACAATATTTTGCATTGGTAATATTAGCTTTATAAATATATAATTTGACATTTTTAATTTATTACATATTTTAAATGTATTAATGTGTTAATTATTAAAAACTTATCAATTAATATGAATGTAATATTATATATGTTTCATTTATAATATTACTTCATTTATAATAAAATAATAAATTATTTCATGCATTTAAAATTTCTGAAATTAAATATTTATAAAATATCAGAATATATATATATATGTGTGTGTGTGTGTGTGTGTGTGTATATATATATAAAATTTAATATTTTGCACTGGTTTTATTTGCATTATAAACATAATTTATGGAATTTTAAATTTATTAAATATTTTAAATGTGTTCATGTATTTATTATTAAAAACCTATTAATTATTGTAAATGAAATATATATTTCATTTATAATATTACTTAATTTATAATAAAATATTAAATGAATTAAAATATTGAATTTTATTTTACATACTGGTTATATTATCTTTATAAATATTTAATGTATTGCATTTTAAAGTATTAAATATAAATGCAACTTATTATTTATTTTTTGTAAATTAAATCATTAAAATCTAAACAATAAAATTTATGGCATGTGGGACGGTGTCTGTCTGATCTTGGGCCAGCAGTAGACTGAAATGGGTCCACATACACAGGAAGAAGTGTGGCGTCAGGGCAGGGCTCTGCTGGGGTCATTAGGGTTTCTGGATGCCTTTTAAAATGTCTTTCATTTCCTCCTGTCTGTCACACGGGGAAGCTGACCGTGACGTAGTGGCAGACATGAAAAGAAATTAACAGAATAATACAGCTCTCTTAAACGGCCCTCCTGCATCACAGACGACTCAGAATAGATTTTTACATGCTTTTCATTCCAATGCGAATACAACAGAGTGACGACATGTCTTTTAACAGCATCTGACTTTTACATTGTTTAACCAAATATTATTGATTTTTTGTGCTGTTTTGACTGGTGTTGGCCTTTCTGAAAGACATCACTGGACACTTGCTGGTTCCTCTTCAGTTTGCGTACAGAGCAAACAGGTCTGTGGATGATGCATTATATTCTGCAACATCTTGATAAACCTGAGACTGAGACTGACGCAAGGATCTTATTTGTGGACTTCAGTTCGGTCTTCAATACCATCATGCCTGACCTTTTCTCAGACAAACTGACCCAGCTCTCTGTGCCCACCCCAATCTGTCAGTGGATCACAAGCTTCCTGACAGACGGGCAGCAGCTAGTGAGGCTGGATAAACTCACATCCAGGACTCTCACGATCAGCACTGGCGCCCCTCAGGGATGTGTGCTCTCCCCACTGCTCTTCTCCCTGTATACAAATGAATGCACTGCAAAAGACCCCTCTGTCTAGCCCTTGAAATTTGCAGATGATACTACTATCATCGGCCTCTTACACAACGGAGTCACAACAACCTGGATCTGAACACGCTCAAAACAGTTGAGATAATAGTGGACTTCAAGAGAAACCGCCCTGCACTCCCTCCACTCACCATCATGGACAGCGGCTGTAGTAGAGTCATTCAGGTTCCTGTCACCACCATCTCTCAGGACCTGACGTGGGACACTCACATAGACTCCATTGCTAAAAAGGCCAGCAAAGGCTGTACTTCCTTCACCAGCTGAGGAAGTTCAGCCTGCCACAGGAGCTGCTGAAACAGTTCTACTCGGCCATCATTGAGTCTGTCCTGTGTTCATCCATAACTGTCTGGTTTGGTTCAGCCACCAAATCAGACATCAAGAGACTACAACGGACAGTCAGGAATACTCAGAAGATTATTGGTTCCCCCCTGCCCAACTTCCAAGATCTTTACACGTCCAGAGTGAGGAAAGGCACCAACCACCAGAACAGCCAGGCACAAGAACATTTTTTTCCCACAGGCTGTATTCAGCCTGAACAATTAAAACTTGCATAACTATACATTGTCCATTATAACTGACACATTTATACATACCATCTGAAAATTGTACATTTGTAAACTACATAAACTGTACACTTGTAAATAACATATCTGTACATTCATTAAAACAATTCTATATGTTTTTTCTCTATATTTCTACTTCTGTATTATTCTCGCATTATTTAATTTTCTGTTTTTTTCTTGTTAGTGTTTTATTTTATCTCTACTGTGTAATTCCTGTGTATGCCTGCAGTGCACTATAATGTATGTTTGCACTATATCTGTACTTTCTTCTGCACTGGAAGCTCAACTGGAAGACAAATTCCTTGTGTGGAACATGCTTGGCAATAAAGCTCTTTTTTCTAAAGCTCTTTCTGGTCACTAGAACAAACAGATGACATTTAAATTATATGTACTGTTGTGTATTAGGACGTTCACCATGGCAACGGGACTCAACAGGCCTTCTACAGTGACCCTAATGTCCTGTATGTGTCTCTCCATCGCTACGATGATGGGAACTTCTTCCCTGGCAGCGGAGCCCATGATGAGGTGGGTTTTATGTACATTTTGACAGTAATTTGATATACACTACCATTCAAAAGTTAAGGGTCCGTACGATTTTTGAAAGAAGACATATTATCACCGAGGCTGCATTTATTTGATCAAAAATAGTCAAAACAGAAAAAAAAACCAGCTAAATTATCAGTAATAATTGTGCAATATTTTTAAATTTAAATTAACTGTTTTCTATTTGTATATATTTTAAAATTAATATATTTCTGTGATTCAAAGCTGAATTTTCAGCATCATTACTCCAGTCTTCAGTGTCACATGATCCTTCAGAAATCATTCTAATATGCTGATCTGCTGCTCAAGAAACATTTTTTATAATTATCAATGTGGAAAACAGTTATGCTGCTTAACATATTTGTGCAAACCATGATTCTTTTTTTTTTTTTTTCCGGAATTCTTTGAACAATAGAAAGAACAGCTTTAATTTGAATCTTTGGTAATAATATACAGGAAAAGTCTTTACTGTCACTTTTGATCAGTTTAATGCTAAATGAAAGTATTATTCTTTCAAAGTAAAAACCTTACTGACCCCAAACGTTTGAATGGTACTGTAATCACACTATTAGTCTATTTGCTTTGAAACATCGGAAAATATTACTTTTTTCCAATTTATATTGTTTATATTTGTTTTCAGTAAGAGGAACCAGAATTTATACCAAGCAGCCGTTTTTGCCATATAAATTAAAAATGCAATAAATACAACATTTACATATGCATGTAATACCAATATTTTGATACAAATGTCTGAGATTTCATTGAAAGTCTGAAATTCAAAATCAGATTTAAACCTAAAAATAAACAGTTTGGGGGGTTGGAATACCTCTCTAAGAAAAATTGGGGAAAATAAAGACAAAATGTTTAATATTCTGCACTATTTCTAGGTCACTAAGCAAATTTGTGACATTATCCTGTGATTTGTTTGCACAGACAGTCAGATGTTCTTTCTTTCATTGGAAATTGTCAGGTTTTATACAGTTTTTTAACTTGAATTGAATTTAATTGAATTTTATATTTGTAACAAATGCAAACTAAAAGCATTTTCACAAGTGGTCTTAGACTTTTGGACCTTACTGTATATTCTGAATATCTAATATAAATATATCAGACATCAACCTGACATGAGCAGAGCAAAAGACAGTTGTGTTCTTCTTTTCCCCTTATTTGACTCCAATTTCTCTCAGTTATAATTAATGCTCATTATCATTGATCCGGTAAGTCAGCTCCTGACTCTGAACTAATGAGGAGATTCAAAATGTAATTGACTCCGTTGTAGCCCTAAATTCTGGTATTAGTCAAAGTCCATTTGGTTTTCAAATAAAACCTCATTACAGTTGTACTCTGGTCATAATTGTTGGGATTTGTCCTTCATTGGCTCTGTGATATCAGCCTTAATTTAGCGGTTTTCCTGGGGAAGTTGGAATGTACATGATTCATAATACCTGCTCATCTGCTCCAACAATAACTTTTTTTTTACTAAGCCACACATTTAATTGAATTGAATTTGTGGTTTGTCTGTGTTGTCTATAGGTGGGCATCAGTCCAGGCGTGGGCTTTAACGTGAACATGGCCTTCACCGGTGGTCTGGAGCCGCCCATGGGGGACGCAGATTATCTGGCAGCATTCAGGTAACACCGTCACCCATATATACCTGTTACACCAAAATGAGCGACAGTCTACATAACCTTCACATAGCATGTTACGGTCTTTGTTTACAAATATAAGACTGTAAATGCAGTTCAGCATCTTTTTGCCATCATGAGCTGACTTTTGTGTTGGAGTCAGTCAGGTGTCATATATTTCATAGCAGTCAATACAAACAATGCTTTTTGTAATTAAAATTGTTATTTTAAACTAACAAGTGTACAAAAACATATAGAATACTGTAGTATTGTAGCAAGGTGAAAATAGGAGCCACATCAGCTTTGTTGATTATTGTGTTTTTGTGTAATTTTATAGTTATAGTTTGTAGTTTTCATTTTAATTTTAGTTTCAGTTTTAATAATTTTTCTCTTATGTGCTGTTGTTTTATCATTTTTTAATTCTTTTAAAGGGATAGTTCACCCAAAAATGAAAATTCTGTCATTAATTATTCACCCTCATGTCGTTCCTAACCCGTAGATATATTTTATGCATTCTGAGAGCTCTCTGACCCTCCCATAGACAGCAAGGCTCCTTACATGATCAAGACTCAGAAACGTAGCAAGGAGATCGCTAAAATAATCCATGTGACATCAGTTGTTCAACCGTAATTTTACGAAGCTACGAGAATATTTTTGTGCGCAAATAACACCAAAATAAAGACTTTATTCAACAATTCGTCTCCTCCGTGTCATCCAGGCGCCATTTTGGAGAGTATCACATACGTAAACAACATATGCTGTTCTGTGTCAGCAGCACTGAACATGGATGCGCTGTTTACGTTGTTTATGCTTTGATCTGAACGTAAACAACGTATCCGCGTATATACATTGCATACGTTGTTTACGTATGTGATACTCTCCAAAATGGTGCTATAGGGTGACGCAGAGGAGACGAATTGTTGAATAAAGTCGTTATTTTTGTTTTCTTTGCGCACAAAAAGTATTCTCGTAGCTTCGTAAAATTACGGTTGAACCACTGCTGTCACATGGACTATTTTAACGATCTCCTTGCTACGTTTTTGGACCTTGATCGTGTAAGGACCCTTGCTGTCTATAGGAGGGTCAGAGAGCTCTCAGAATTAATCAAAAATATCTTAATTTGTGTTCTGAAGATGAACAAAGGTCTTATGGGATTGTAACGACGAGGGTGAGTAATTAATGACAGAATTTTCATTTTTGGTTGAACTATCCCTTTAAATATTTCTATTTAGTTTTCATTTACTTTTATTTCAGTTTCAGTTTTAAGACATTTTTGTACTTCGGCTTTAACTTATTTCAGCTAGTTGCCAAGGTAACGTTTCTACCTTGTAGAAAAAAGTAAAGTTTTTCATCTATTTATTATTATTATTTAATTTTTATTTAAGTTTTATTTCAATTACCAAAATTGTGTTTAATGGATTTGGTTTTAGTTAACAATAACAAATAAGGTTTTGCAATGTTTTAAGTATTGTATAGTTTTTGTCCTAGAAAACAAGTCAAAAAGACTAAAAACTCTTTAAAACCTATAAGTAATTTTTGCTGTGTAGTTTTGTTTTGCATAAATAGTTTTGACCTGGACATTATCCCAGCCCTCAGATACTGATGTTAGTTGTTCCTGGTTTGAGACCAGCAGGTTTTAGGGGCCGTTTCAGAATCTATGTTTCCCACTCAGAATTGCATTTTATTTGGAAATGTGCAAGATGGATCCAAGTTGGGCAGCCAGTGACACCATACTGATGAAAGAATCAGTAGACACTGTAACTAACTAATCAGTAAACACTCTAAATAACACAGAGTGATATTTGCCTTACAGTGTTTATTATGTATTACTTTCAGTGAATAGTTATTTACTCCCTCTGCCTATTTACAGTGGGTACGGAAAGTATTCAGACCCCCTTAAATTTTTCACTCTTTGTTATATTGCAGCCATTTGCTAAAATCAGCTCTTCAGGCAGTTCCTTTGACCTCATGATTCTCATTTGCTCTGACATGCACTGTGAGCTGTAAGGTCTTATATAGACAGGTGTGTGGCTTTCCTAATCAAGTCCAATCAGTATAATCAAACACAGCTGGACTCAAATGAAGGTGTAGAACCATCTCAAGGATGATCAGAAGAAATGGACAGCACCTGAGTTAAATATATGAGTGTCACAGCAAAGGGTCTGAATACTTAGGACCATGTGATATTTCAGTTTTTCTTTTTTAATAAATCTGCAAAAATGTCAACAATTCTGTGTTTTTCTGTCAATATGGGGTGCTGTGTGTACATTAATGAGGAAAAAAAATTAACTTAAATGATTTTAGCAAATGGCTGCAATATAACAAAGAGTGAAAAATTTAAGGGGGTCTGAATACTTTCCGTACCCACTGTATATTACCAGCAGCTGCACAGATTTTATGTGGGCACATGTGCCAGAGAGTGGCCTGTATAGGGCTGAATTTATCGCAAGGCAATATCCTTTTATCCCAACCCCAGTGACCTCACAGCCAATAGAAGGACTGTAATTCACCACAGTTTGTAACTCAAAAAAGCATGTGATGAGTGAGAACACAGGAGAATTCTAACTGACTCTTAAGAGCTGCAGGGAAAACACTCCAGTTTGATGGGTTAAATCAGTTGACTTTTTCTTTTTCGGCCTGACATAAATTGATAGGAAAGACATTTAAAAACCATTTCAAAGAGAATCAAAGACTCTTTTCCAAAACCTAGTGAGCCTACATAGGCAACGGCTTCTAAGGTGAAACCTCATAATTGACCAATTTGAAACGATTTTGGTGTTCATTGACTTTTATTCATTTTTGCTTATTTTGGCAGTGCATTAAGAGATTGCATTCTTAATCTGAATTTTTGATGTTTTCATTCAACTTGTCACAGTACATTATGGGATTGTATGGGATTGTCTCTTGTACATACTTTTTTGCTTTTGTGTCAGCTTCATGATCTCTTAAAATGAAACTTACTTAGGCAGAGGTAAATAGAGCCAAACCAACTCGCTGGTTTAATATTGCTTAACTGACACCCATATGACAGCCAAAGAGTGTGAAAAGCCCCAGGCAAAGCCCCATTTTCACAGAGATTTTTTTCATGAATTGTAGGCAGTTGTTGGAGAATTGGTTGGAGAATGGGGTCTTGTAACAATTTGTATAAGCACTGCTCATCCGTTGAACTGTCCCTTTCATCTGTAGCGGGGGCTAATAGGAGTCTTTGATGGTGAGCCAGTAAAGCTGAGCCCCATTAGCATTGGTGTTTGAGGCTATTAATAACCCCCTCCCTCATGGTGTGGGTGCACGGCCGATTCGAGACGCTCTTTGAAGAGGGGCCTCCGTGCCCAACGCGTTCAGGCTGCTTCGGCAGGTAGATGGCTAAAATATGGCCCACTGCAGGGCGATGATAAGACAGGATAGTCCTCGCTCATCCCTTTTTTTAAAAAAACGACCACCTCCTTCTCTTTGACCCAATCAGCCCGCTCTCAGTCTGTCCGACTGTTGTTGTAAATCTCTCCCCAACACGTCTTCGATAAATTCGCTTCACCTCCCTTCGGCGGCCTTTCCTCACGCAGGGTGTAAGCGATGCCAGCTGAGTCCGACCCATCTGTGCATCTGACCTCAAATCTCCCCCTGATCTCATCTGCATCAGCACCCGGCACCCGTATTAAGATGCTCCGGTTCGGCCATTGAGAATCAGTCAGTTGGAAAAGCTTTTAAGCTTTTTAGTTTGATGCGCATCTTCCTTCGTAAAGCCTGCAGGGATGCGACTCGCTTTCAATTGCTTTACGTTTCCATATGACTCACAGACACGTGTGTTGCCAGCCGCTGTACTCATACCCTGGCGAACACCTTCAGTCTATCGGTCAATTCATATTGATTCATCCGTGCCTACCAGGCGTCTGCACTTCTCGACCCACCCAGAATGCCCTCATCCCCCTGTAGAAATGTCTACTGTTTCAGAGTAAACAAATCATTTTACAGTTGCGTTATCATATGTTGTCACTCACTTTTAGATAGCAAAGAGTTAAACTGCAATGCACACAAATCTTATTGAAAACCATATTCCAGTGTTTTTTTTATATGTTTTAAAACACTAAATTACTCTGCATAAATGATATGACCTTGTAATTACTATGTGCAATTGTTTTAATTTTGAAAAATATACATGTCACTCATCTATTATGCAGCTGAGACAATTATCTAGTTCAAAAATAATAAATTAGCAAAGAAAAAATAGTATTGTGTAGGTATAGTAAAGTTAAATTGTTCAAAATATATTAAAAACTTTACATAAAAAGCAGTTGTTACTCATTATTTCAAATGTGAAAGATGCCATATTTTACAACAAATTTTTTTTTTATACTAATTTTATTTATTCATTCATTCATTCATTTTTTAAAACTGGACTTAACATGTTATGAAAAAATGCTTGCCATTAAATGTGAATTTTATTAAAAAGTTGCTCCTTGGGTTAAAGATCATGTGGTCATGTTTATTATTTATAATATTATTTATAATATTTTTATATTACTTATTATAATATAAAAAATATATTTGTAATCATATTTATATTGTATTTCTTTTATTATTATTATTATTATTAAAAACATTTGTAAAAAAAAAATCAATAATAATAATAGTTTTTATATATTTATTTATTTATACAGTTCTATAGCATTGATGCATTATGGATGGATTGTATGAATTGATTCCATTGGAAGTGCCCTTGCAGTTTTGAGGAATGACCCAAACCATATTGGCGTCAGCGTTTGCCTCCTAAACGAGAGTAGCCGTGCAGCTCAGTATACAGTATGTGTAGTGCTCTACTGAGTTACAGGGGCACCTGGGCTATTATTTTAATCGAATTACATGCAAATCTGCTCATGATTCATTCTGAGGCAAAGGAAACTCCATGTTAAGTGACTCAGAGTTGTGTTCATGGGCAGCAGTTATCTGTGTGCTGTAGCAGTCCTGTGTGCACCCGTGATCCACCCAGATGAGGGGACTCGTCTCACTCC